TGTATCCGATCTGTACGAAGCATTACATTCAAAAGAACTTTCCAAACAGATAGTCATTTGCATCGCCTGCTATGAAAAACATAAAGCAAAACTAAAATGCGTTTCTCGTTCACTCTCTCGTACTTCAAGCATATTAAGCATGGAACTCGAGACAGATTCATCGTTACTGACAACTTCTGTTTCAACTCACGATGTTTCCACAGACTGCTCGTTGATGGTTGACGACTCTATATCACTTCCTATCATCGTTCCACCATGCTCTGGAAAGTACTGTTCTATCTGCCGCCGATCAAATCTTTTGGGAAAATGTACGATGATAACAGATACCATTCGAATCCACTCGTTCGTCGCTCATAATATTTATTTTAAACAAAATAGTCGATCTTGCCCAAAGCATATTGAAAATGGAATTTTGAAGACATTGGCGATAGAGAGAATAAAGGAGAAGGAATCGTCGTTGAAGAAAGTGTCTTCGGAAGAAATAATGGGAATCTTTAATGTATTACAGAATGAATTGAAAAAACAGTTAACAATGAAATATATCCCTCTACCACCTCTCGATTTCAACGATCATTTTCGACACACTGATGCTGAATATTATATGCTAGCTGGCATTAATAAAGTCAATTTCGAACATCTATGCGCAACAGTGAATATGAGAAATACTGATAATCGCTCTCTCTCGATGGCTGTTGGTTGTCTGTTAGTTAAGCTTCGGTTGGGAGAGCCGAATACAGTCCTTGCGACATTGTTCTCATTTTCAGACAAACGCACCGTGGGTCATATTTTAGACAGAGCTCGAATTGCACTATTACGTGATTTTGTGCCCGATAATTTGGGATTTCAACATATTACTCGTGACCAAGTCATCAACGAACACACTCGTTCATTAGTTAAACAGCTTTTATGTGATGGTAAAGATTCCGCCGTTTTGGTTCTTGATGGGACTTACTTGTTTTGCCAGAAGAGTGGCAACAATAAGTTGCAGCGTAATCTTTATAGTATGCACAAAAATAGGCCCCTCATTAAACCTATGATGGTGGTGGCGTCCGATGGATATATAGTGAGCGCTATTGGACCGTATTTATCGAACTTCTACAACAATGATGCTTCTATTATGAAGCATATTTTAACGAACAACAAAGGAGACATATTGGATTGGCTTCAGCATGAAGACACTCTTGTAGTTGATCGTGGCTTTCGGGACTGTCTACCACTTATCCGATCATTTGGATACCAAGTGTATATGCCCGCATTTTTGCCAAAAGGACAAAAACAGTATACCACAGAAGAAGCAAACAAGAATCGTTTCATCACTGCATCGCGATTTGTGGTTGAATGTGTAAATGGCCGTGTTAAGCAGTGGAGACTGCTAGATCGAATTATTCAAAACTCCACTCTCAAGAATATTCATGGATACTTCTGTATCGTCTGTGCACTGATAAACGCCTATCGTCCTACGTTTATTCACGATACATCTAAAGATGATGAACTCGCCAAAAGGATGATAGACCGTTCAATGAAGAAAAACGAGTTGTCGGAAAAATTAGTTAATAAGGACTTGAAAAAGGTACGAAACTGGGTCAAAATTAATGCGTCCCTGATTTTCCAAAACTCACTGAAGATAATCTGCGCGAAATTACATTAGGAGTGTTTCAGCTTAAACAAGCTCGTAGCTATACGATTGAGCACATCACGGACGACGGTGACTACGAAGTTTTAGTGTCAAAAGAAACAAAGAACCTTCTCCGAGCGTATATTCATTCCAAACATTCAACACGGGCATCATATGATGTATTGATCCAGTATAATAAAAGTACAGTTCTGGAGTGGTGTTGTCAATGTCCTGCAGGAAACAGAACTGTCGGGTGCTGCTCGCATGTGGCGAGTATAATTTGGTATCTGGGTCTAGCTCGGCAAGACAAAAAGTACTTGAATCAACGGTCATCTTCATACATTGATTTGTTTAATAATGCCGCTGACATATCAGATATAAGTTCAGATGAAGATGAAGATGATGAAACATTATATACTCTGGACTAGCAGACGAATTAGTGCTTTGATTAACCAGTCAGATATCGGTCGCACAAAAGGAGTCGTAGAGGCCTCTTAAAGTTGAGTGGCCACTCAACTAAAAAACTCATCTACCGTCGTGTTCCCTTCGATACTAGTGAAGAAATATCCTATTTCTCTGATGAAAACAGGCAAAAAAAACAATAAAAAAAACAAAAGAACAAAACCCTCTAGGAAAGGGAGAACTCTCCGTGGTTGGAAGAGAAACGCTAGTTATCAGCGGACAACATCCCTTCATTTTCAACTCCCAACATTCCATTTATATACTCGTAATATAAAACCATGATAATGGCAAAAGCTAATGAGCATGTATTCATTAGTACCATGCACCAGCATCAAAACCAGTAGAAAATCGCGTTTTTCTCAGTTTTCATCATGACGCACGCTCTTTTAACCGATTTTGGCACTACCAGTGGATAGAGCTTTAAATGTTACATTTGTGTTAAAAGTGTCAAGTGGTATGGACTTATCCTAAAAGAACGTTCATTTTTACATATATCTGATCATTTTTTAGAGTTTTGAAAATTGACTTGCATTAGTGGGCGATACGTTTTACGATTCTAACTCATAACTTTGTAATACGGTCCGAAAAACTTTTGTTTGTCATACCAATGAGAAGGACGTGACAAGTACTTGCCAGGTACCTAGAAACTGCCTGAAACACTTGCAGACAATTTGCAAGTACTTATCCTATTACTTAAGCTGGTATTGCCTCAAGTGCTTGTCAAGCTAATCAGGTATTTGTATCCCTCAAATTACTTGATAAGTGCCTTTTTCACTCCCAAGAAACTCCAGGTACTCAGGTACAGTACTTGCGTGAGTACCTGGTCTCAAGTACATTTACTATGGAAGCCATTCAAATGCACAGAATTACTTAACCCTTGACAGCTGTTTGGGGATCCAGTTGGACCTACTGTGCAGTTTTTTATTTCTTACTCTGCAGTATTCATCTCTTTCGAGCTGCTCTCTTTCCTAATCGTCAATCTTCTATCCACACATACTACCTATATCCAGTCTCGTGAATGAATCTTACAGAAAAAAACTGACGTGTGGGTCCGCACAGACCCGATAATCGTGTTATATTTACGATTTACAGCAGTGTTAGAACCACCCTCCGTCGTCACTTTGATAGCGCAAACATTTTTCTACAAAATGAGATATTCCGTAGCTATGAGCGAATCTTGATAACCGATGTATAGAAATTTTCCCGGATGCTACAACACCAGTTAAAAACTGGTGCATACCTAATTATAAAACCTTTCCCTAAAATGTCTTCTAAATAATATACGCTTACACACCCTGTATCCGTATCAACATATTCACGCCTAGAAGGAGCAAGATGTAGACCATTGATTCGTGCATGAAAAGCTTCAATTAAATGGTAAAAAGCTTGAGCTTCTCCCATACTTTCTCATGTGAGTCCAACCGGATCCCTGAGCAGGCATGAAGTCCAAAAATGAGAACAGCTGTCAAGGGTTAATGCACTCGAATGCACTAAAAAGTTTCATCACTCATTGTTCCTGTGCACGCAGAGTTTTGCTGAGAGCTCCATGGTTGATATTTTTTCATCTGGGCAACCTTGGAAATACATGAAAACATGAGCTATCAACACCTTTGAATCTCATGATAATGTTTCGACCTGTAATAAATGGTGTATGATTTATTTACTTTTCATGCATTCGATGTTGGCTAACGTAAAAACATGCGACAGACTACGGGCCTGGCACAATCACACCACCAAAACAAACCAAAACATTTAATTAATTTAACAAATTATAACGTCGGCGACAATTTTGTAAATTAATTCGAGCACGAATAAAAATTTCTCCAAATCTGTCTATCCAAATTAAATTGATCTCATTCAGTCGTTATTACTCTTAGTTGCATTATTCAAAAATATCGTTTCAACAGTCCTTTCTCTTCATCACGTTAGAGAACACAAAAAATGCCTGTAATGATGTCATTCAAAATACAAAACAAAAAAGCGAAAAAGTTTCATTTAGTCAGCACAAACGAAATAAATGTTCTTTTTTTGGAGCGTGTGATTTTCTAGTGGTGGTAAGCTGCGTCCGATAGTGGGTACACTGGTTGGAACAAGTAAAAGAATTACACTTTTATTTTTTATTTTTCATCTGTACAATAAATCTAACGTAAGATTTGAATAATATAAAAGAATATAAGTCTAAGAAAGAACTGTTGAATAATCATGGTACTTTTGCTCTCATGTTTAGATCAGTATTCTATTTTTATTATCATTCAACTCAAGTTATAGTTTCTATACTTAATTAACTAAAAGAAAAAAGGTAATTCATCAATATTGCTTTTCAACCTTAATCCATTTATGTCGAATGTTGTCCTTTATGTTTCAGCACAGACTGTTTGCTTTATTTAAACTAATATTACATTACACGATGAGCTCTATTTGTGAACCATGTGAGTAAAAAGCGAAGATATTTTCCTGTTCTTTTTCGACTTTTAATTGTAATGGCATTGAATGTGACGATGAAAATGAACCTATAATGGGTGTTGCTCCCAATGGCAACAATAAAGCTTATAGTGCAGGCACATAACATATCACGAGATCGTAGGCTTTTGCAGAATGCGACATTCATATTGTAAAGTGAGGATGTATATATTTACTGTATGTCCTATTCAGAGTACCCAAATCTCCTGATTTTTAGACTTTTGTCCTGATGAAAAGTCTCCTGATTTTAGGAGCTGATTTTTTAAGATTTCCTCCTGATTTTCAGTTGTTTTCCTGAATCGATTTTGTTTTTTTCAAAACGGAGATTATTAGTTTCAAAACAGAATTTCTGGATCAAGTGTCTGAATAATTGTACATTGAAAGAGTTTGCTGTGTGCTTATCGAATGTTTTCATCACAAGAAGATGAAATTAGTGAACTTCCAAATTCATTGGATCAAAAACTTCTTCCTCAATCCGTTCTGCAGTCTGTAACAAATGATAATACTGTTCCATCAAAAAATATTTGAAAAAACACACAACAAACATTTGAAAAAGTGATTGGATTTTTTTGTTTTGCTTGTCGAAGAAAAAACTGTCTCATACTTTTCTGTTTTTCTTCTGATTTCAAAAATAATCTTCTGATTTTCCTCCTGATTTTTTAGAAAAATCTCCGGACCAACTCCTGATTTTTAACAAAAAGCTCCTCATTTCGAAAAGTTGGATTTGGGCACCCTGGTTCTATTCCAGAGATTCCAATATGAGGCTCTTAATAACTCTACCATTCTGTAGAAACTTCTAGGAAACTATTTTAGGCATATTTTCACCAAACCTCAGAACTACGAGCAGTGTTTAACGTGGTTCTCGAGTAGTACATTTAAAATTGAAAGAAGCGAAGTTTTCTATGAGAAAACCAAGTTCAGGCTTATAACTGATACAAAACAGCAATATTAACTCCACAGAGGCTTATGTTGAGCAGAAATATTGACGCTTTTAGAATATGTTGTTGAAATGGCGGTCAGTTAACGTTACATGATCTAAACATTCGAAAGTCTATCCTAAATAAGAAAAAGGTTTATTCTTTCAAAAGTCGTAGTATATAATGTCTTGTGAAAACGTATAAAAAACGTTTCCAAGGAATTCCAGCGGGATTGTATAGCCGTCCAGAACTTCATATAGAAGTTTCAAGAAATTAGATGACGAAATGGGCTCTAGACATAATTCTGATATGCTATCTACCGAAAATAAAATAAAATCCATTATGGGACGACTGCCTATCGTCCACTCGTGTTCTTTCATTTAAAAAAACAGATATTTTGAAAATAATTCAGGCACACACTACGTGTGCCATCAGGTAAACTTTTAAGCCATTTGGATATGCAGAATTGTTTTTAAATTTTGGGATTGGATCAATATTGACTACCCTGATTTGGTCTGCCACATGTACACTGATTCAAACTCTTTTCTATATAATGTCAAGCACGCACATACTGTGAACACATATTTTAAAAGTTTCACATAAATACATTATGCTTTATGCCTGAAGGTATTATGTGTGTTGAATACGTGACAAGGTCTCGATCCGGTACCTTCGTCTCGAACTTCTCCATTGTTCTCATTTCTTCTTCCATCAGGTAGACAAATCATAGCGACCAACAAGATCTTTGTAATCTGTAAAAATAAACTGAACTCGAGGCGAGAGCGAATTTGACAACCTATGCTCTCTTTCAAATAACATCAGACTACAGAATTCCAATATGATTTTTCGATCTCCATTAAGTGTTAATTTGTTTTTGTTTAATTTTAGATCATGCTGTCGATGAAAACATTTTTACGGAACCGACAGAAACTAATGCTGAGTTTGTGTCAGATACAGAAACAAATCCTGCATTCATCAATAAGACTACCAATGATAGGTCATCAAACAAAGTGCGATCTTACAAAGGTTAGCTTTCGCCTGGATCATGTCGGCTGTGCTGCTCTTTCCATTCATATGGGATATAATACAACTGTTTTTCTAGCAAGTGAACCAGTAGCATTCTTTGCCTCCTCTGCGAATGTTGCTGGCGAACTGTGGTCTTTCGTTAAATAAGTTCGCTTCGGCATCTGTAGTACTAGTTTTCAAACCACTCTCTCTTCGCAAATCAGCCTGACGATTTTACTATTACGTAAAACTGTTTTAGTACAAATAAAAGGCTGTGTGCTGGCTCTTCATTAAAAAAATCATCACGTTATTAAACAAAATAAATTAAAATAATTTTTGTTTTATCTTCATAGATTCCTTCAAAAATCTGGAACAAATTTTTGTTGAAGCATTATTGCACACAGTTATTGATTTAAAGTCATTTCTGCTAGGTAAGTCAATAAAAGATTTTCTGTGTATGCATACATGCCGAAGTAAGCCACATCGTTTCCTTTAATTTCGTGCAGTATGACTCCTTTTAATGACAGTTTTTTCACTAATTTGTTTTGTTAAAGATATGATCGTATCAGACGAAATCACTTAAGTGAATGAGAGACCAAAAACATTCATTCATAAATGAACAATCAGTTGAGGTCAGCGTTTTTCGCAACAAATTTCTTATTTATTCACCATATTTATATGCACAAGAATAGGAAAGTTCAATGCGAAAAGACGCTGATCTTGGATAAATTTATTGATCAGTCATACCCTGCTGAAAATGTGAAAAGTTCAAAAGTATTTTCCGTAACTCGAATACCATGAAATATTTATTGCTCAAATGCAGGATTACGCCGAATTTTTTCGGTTGTGTAACAAGAACTGTACAAGAAGCAAAACAGAGATATGATAAGATTTTTTAAGAGAACTGTGAATGCTGTTTTAAGCGAGTTTTGGGATAAACATAATGGAAAGGCTTGTGATACATCAAAAGAATTGGTATATGGACTGACACTAAATGACTCATCCCTTCTATAACAGATTATGCATATGTGTTAGAAAAAATGAAATTCATTGGGTGAATCTATTAAATTGAATAAAGTTATTAATTAGAAAAGTTTTGGCGTTTTTGTTTTTTTCTGAAAAGTAGCAGTTTTCGAGATAAATCAATTTTGCCGAAATGGTGGCGCTACTGTGAAGTGTAAAATTATTTTGAAAACTACTGTTTTCCAGAAAAAATCATAAATTTTCTAATTAAAAACGTTATTTAATTTAATAGATTCACTCAATGAATTTCATTTTACCTAACATATATGCATCCGATAATGATTGCTTTAATCGTACAACAATCCGTCAGTCCCCACACTAAATCCGAAAAAAACCATTTATTATTGTCTCACAGCAGTCTTAAACTGTCCTGTGAAATCAGGAGTAATGTGTAAATGAGTTTGAATAAAATTTGTTGAACGGAATCTATAGAGAAGCAGTACTCTAAGGACTCAGATACCTTGGATGAATGAAAAACTTCTTGCACACAACTCAGTTGTATAGAAAAAGCGTTTCTAGACAAAATGAGACGTCTCCGAACTGTACATGCTATTCTTACCTTAATTCCATTCATTTTACGACAGAACTTGATCCGTTAAAATGATCAAAATCAACAGGAGAACAACAAAAATGCTTTTGAGATCTTTGGGTAAAATGAATGAAGTCTAAGGTTAAGAATGACATGTAGAGTTCGGAGATGTCTCATTTTGTCTAGAAACGCTTTTTCTATACAACTGAGTTGTGTGCAAGAAGTTTTTCATTCATCCAAGGTATCTGAGTCCTTAGAGTACTGCTTCTCTATAGATTCCATTTCAACAAATTTTATTCAAACTTGCCTGCTACTCCTGATTGACGTTCTTTCACCTACTGAGATCTCGTTTCGAATTTGCTCTGATTATTATGCTCGAACAAAAATTATTGAAAATAAGTCGTTTCTGTAATTTGCACAAGACTATGCAGCCGATGAGCAGAGTATCTGCAGCGCAGTCAAAGTCTTATTGTGAACTCATTTCCTATTGAAAGAAAAACGTTAGAAAAAAAAAAAAAGAAGTTTTTCATCTTTCTGACAAATATGTAGAAAGTTACAGAACAGTGAACCGTACGGACAGTATTTTGGGCTAGAAAGATAGCCAAATGGAATAAAATTAGTCTTTTATAGGTTATGAGAGACGTTGCTTAAAGAAGAAAAAAATGCAGTAGACCATATCTTGTTCCATCTATCGATTAACATAAGATTTTTTCTAACGTTTGTCTTTTAGTAGGAAATGAGCTCACAATAAGACTTTGACTACGTTGCAGATGCTCTGTTCATCCACTCTAAACTCATTGCAGAAGACAAGATGAGATAGAGTAAACGAACACGCAAAACGAGAAGAACAGAAAATTAATAGAAAGACTGGGAAATTTGGCGATAATATGAGACAAAATTATTATTTTTCACATCGCCCTTTTCAGTTTCTGATCTGGAGATTTTTCATGGTTTCATTAGGATAAACGTCATCGAAATTAGCCCAAAAAAGTTATTGTTACTGTACACTATAGTGTTAAAGTACACAGGACTACTTGGTGCACAACCTCTCATATTTTTTTTATCACATGAGTAAGCGAAAGAGCAGAAATACACTCTAAAAGCACGGTATCATGTAAAGCAGTAAAGACGATAAAAAAAAACGCCTCTAAAAGTTTCACTTTCTTTCAAGCGCAAAATAGAGTACCTTATCTGTCTGGCTTCAAAGGTTGCACGACAGTAGCAAATTGATTGATCAAAACCATCTTTTGAGAAAGAAAGGTGTTTTTGGAGACAAGTAGGGTGGTAGATGCCGAAACTAAAGATTTCGGTTTTTAATCGGTTACCCAAACCTGTTGCATGCCTAGTAACTGAAGAATACATAGCGTCAATTCTGGTATAGATGTCAGAGACCGAATCGGGTCAAATTTATTTGCAGAAAAAGAATTGTTCACATCCTGAAAAAGGGGTGTAATTTTAGATTTTTTCCAGAAAAACGCATGAAAAGTCGAAAATTTTTTCCGATGAGTGGAACGGGACCCGAAATATTTGTTTATTTGATCCGAACCCTAACCGATCAGAACATTGGCCCGACCCGTTTCGACCTCTGATAGATATCGTACTTCGTATTCTATTGATTTATTCTGATGTTTTAGAGCCAGAACTGTGCAGCAAACATGTTTATAATCTTACTAAAGATCCGAACGCTTTTGTTCAACAAGTCGTTAATGATATAGAAATCTTTCAGTTCTTTACAAAAGCATCTGTCTATTCCCAGTTTAATGAGCAATATCAAATTGAACTGAAAAAAATGAATAAATATAACGATGATTATAACATGTTATTCCACATTGATACAATCAAATGGTTTGAACATCATTTGAAACGGAACAGAAATAAAGCAATTCGTTTGGCAGGTGAATATATATCAAAAATACAAAATTTAAATACAAGTGAATTTAATTTATCAGCTGTTAAAGTAAAGACTAAGTCATTATGGTGTCGAAATGAAATGAAGTATGGTTATTGTTCAGAAAGACTTAGATGTGGCTATCAACATAGGAAGCTGTGGTGTTTTGACGAATATACATCAGGTGAATGTAAAGTAAATATATCGTGTATACCTGAACATTTCAACAATTTTATGCATACACTCAAAGGACAAGAACGTTATGACAAAACTTATCCTAGAACTTACCAATGTCATGCTTTTGTGAATAAGGAAGGTCAGCATTGTGCATTTCATGTTGATCAGTCAAAATGGATTTATGCCGATCAAATCAATAAATTATTGTACATAGTGGGAGCAAGAAGCAATCAAACCCCTGTAGCAACATTAAATCCCGTTGAACATTGCACAAATGAAGATTTTAGTACAAATCCTCAGGCATGGTATGCGATCGTACAATTCGTAGAATATATGAAAACAAAATTAAGAATGACGATTTCTCCATTCATGGCATCATGCTTTTAGTATGTCCGGTACAGACTATCTCTTTAGCGGAAAGATCTCAATTTGTTTAACTCCACAACAAACGAATTCAACTTTTAACTCAACACGATGAAAAGGTTCTTGTATTGAAACTTGCATAACACTTATGGATATCACAATGAGACATTTTCCAGAATTTTTCTATGAGTTTTCGTGGAGATATAAGCATTTCGGCAGATGCCTTGAAAAAAACAGCCTGTGTACAGAATGCGTTTTTTCTCGAGAACTACTTTTTTGCTACCAGACTTCACTGCACCGCATCCTCTTAAATTTCATCCGATCGAGTCAAAAATTTTACCAGATGTACTCAAGACCTTATTGCGGAGGTATTCTTTTGGAATTTTACTTTGGACTTTTCTTTACCGAGGTATAGGCTTTCTAACATTGAAAAACTTGATTTTTGAGATGTTTTTCAGTATTTTCCTCATAACTCGACCAGAAAAGGGCTTAAAATTTTTTTCGTAACGTGGGTCCAATGAAAAACCGAATTTTCTGCAAAACTGGTGAGCGGTAATAGTCAGAAACTTGAAACAAAAACGAATCCACTGGGTTTTCAATCTGTTTTGAAAATATGAAGCCGTAGTGACTTTTAGCTTTTATTTTACAGCATTTCTACGGAATGCCCCAAAACAGGGGTGAGATGCCCTTAAAAACGGCAGACAGAGGTGATTGTACAAAACTATTTACTATTCATAACAGAGCACAATGAGCCTGAGTATGGTTGAAATAATACTTAAACGAAATGAGACAGAGAAGGAGAGCCCTTTTCACTAATATGTAGCCAAGACCTAATGGCATGAACGTATAGAACATTTGAGTCAGAAACAACGTTTGTCAGTCGTATACATTATCGCTGTTTGAAGGATCAAATTGCTATTTTTCTGGAAAAGATAGATCTTGAACCTGCAGAAGTGATTTCGACCATCGAATTCTTCTCTATCGATAAACGCAAGGCGAAACTCCATATCTAGTACCGGCACCAGACGAACCCAGGTTTTGTTCGAAACTCTAATATCTGGGTGTTCTCGTATATGATAAAGTTGAAGCCGAATGGAAACATTGGTTGCTGACTATGCTGATTCTCGCCTCAATATTCGTTTCTTGAAATAAATTTCTAAGGCTTGATGTAAACCTACACGGTAAACGAAAAAGCGTCCAAAAAAAGTATCCACTAGAAAACGTCCACGAAAAGTATACTGAAAAAAGGGTCGACAAAAATGAGCCCACGAAAATTCGTCTAAGCATAATATTTAAGTGCATACTGCATAGATGACTCGTTTCACTGCACTAGCTTATCTCAGAAACGACTGATTTCCTGCGATAGTGGACTGGTCCAGCAGATCAGGTGCGCTTCAAAAGTATAGTGCGTTAAATACCGAGTAAAATATTATTTTGAAATCTTTTCAAATTTTGTTTTTTCACATACGAAAAAATTCGTCTAGAGAAAAAACCGTATAGCAAAAACACATACCAAGATGTGACGAAAAAACCGCCCACTGAAAAGCGTCAACTTTTGGACGCTTTTTTTTACTGTATATATTAGACCGAATAGCCCATTGTTCTAAATTTCCAACTTCGTTAGTCGAAATCGACTCAAACTATTTGGTAATATTACTATACTCTGTTTTAGGTGCTCAATCTATTTCGATACTTAAAAACGTTTCAGTAATTTAAAAGATTTCCAGAACACTTTTACGAAATCAACGTATTTTCGTTTGTTTTTAAAAAAATTTTTAAGTTAGAGAATATACAGCACTAAAAAGGCGTAAAGATTTACTACAGATAAGCAAAAATCTTACCATCTCGTTCAAATATGATTTCTTAAATTTTTTGCTCCCGATCGTAGAAAAGTTCTGATAATGGTGAAACTGCTATACTGTCAATAGCAACTATGAAAATCTAGTCATTCTCATCAGTAAACCCTTCTAGTGCTGCTTATTTTCACTTACAGTTCATTTTCCAAGTTGATTTTTGAAAAATCGACGGGACGAGTGCAAAGGTCGAAACGCCTCTTTGGCCACAGGTAACAAAATAGCACCGCACTCATATTTGTATTCTAATGGAAAAAAGCGGCTAGACACGTAGTCTATCTCACGACAAATATCAAAGTTAAGACAAGGATTTTTCTATCTATAAAACTTCATTTTTCCATCAGACGTTTTAGATGAATGAGATCTAATGGGCTACACATAAATTTTGGTAAATGGATGCAACAATGTGCTTATAATCCGTTACTGCAACAGGGTCACGCACATATTAACATACATTTAAATCGAGAAACAATCAGACAATGTGATAAAGATCATTTTCCATCATTAGTAAATTGTTATGAAGCTTTGGAAGATCATCTTTTCGATGATATCTCAAAATTAAAAAAATTAATTGAACCTATGGAACCTATAGGCTATCTATTTGAGATCAAAGAAAGTATTGCGGAGGAAGAAGTGGGAGAATCAGATATGGGCGCAATACGAAGTTATACTTAATGAATTGTTATTAGAATCATTAAATATATAACTTTGGAAAAGCAGACTTATCTATCTTTGTTCAACATATTCAAGAATAAACCAATAATCAAGAAGAACGCTTTTCTATTTTATGATGAGGGAGATAGCATTTGATCTCCGTTTGTCAAAAGAATTCTTCAAATTTTAATACAATTAAAGCGATTTTTTTAAACATTTTTCAAAAAGTACAGTTCTACACTATTCTTTTTTTGAATTTAGGAAATTTATGATAAACTTCACATTCGAAGTAAATACATATTAACTTTCTCACCTTCTCATTCTTGTTAACCTAGATGCTTTTTTTGACGGAGTTTAACAGTTGTAAACACTTTTCTAATTTTATGTATAAATCATATTTGACTTTAAATAAAAACATCAAGCATTTACTGTTATTCTTTTTTCTCTTTTTTTGTAAACTTGTTATATAAATTTTTTTCATCTTTAATTGTTTTATAGAATTTTTTTCTAAAACAGAAAAAAAATGTTATTTTGATAGTGTCGTTACATTTTTCATCAAGAGAAGAACGATAGTTTTTTTTTTATTCAAAAGTGGTAGAAACGACACATGATTCGATTTTGTATTTGTTTTAAACTGGATATTAATTTCTCTTTCCTATATATATTTGTATAAGGTAAAATTGAAATACTGATGAATAATGCATTATTCTGAGGAGAAGCTCCGTCGGAGAGACTCGTAATTTTTGAAAAATGACAAAACATTTCTCAGTCATATTATTGATTTTGAAGTTATTAATTTCTATTTTGATCTTAAAATCCTCAATCGTTAACGTTAATTTCTAGGATAAATAAAATATGGCTACAGACGCGCGCAATGGAAGAACTTCTACAAGATGTTTCAAAACAAATGTTGGTCTCTGAATATGGGATCATAAAGCAGAAATAAACAGTTAAAACTATACATGAGTGTGTATCAGCATTATTCAATGAACGATCGTCTAAATTTGAACGTTCTTAACGAAGCATTATGAGATAGCTGAAAAAATCGACTTTTTTTGCGCCAGACGGATTGAACTGAAATTTTGGGTAATGAATAACGACAATTAGTTAAACATTTTTGGAAAGTTTCATCAATAAAGTGTGAACGGTTTCAAAGATAATTATTTTTATAAGTGGCGCAAAGTGAGTCGCGTTCATTCTCGTTGAACATAGCACTGTTGAACAAAGTGATTGTTTCGAATAAAAGACAGCGTCTATCCTGATTCTTTATGATTTAGAACTGTTTTAGAGCGTGTTTGTCGAGTTTTCTAGATTTTTTTAGTAACTATAATCCTCTTCTATTGCTCAGTTACAGAACAGAAATCTTATTAAATGGCAATTCCAGAGTACAGAAGCAAAAGGAAAAAGAAAATATAGCTGAACTGTAGAGATCAAATGTACCGCTTTCAGTCTTCTCTTCTTTTAACCTTACCGCTTTCCATTTTTCTATATACGCGCTGCAGTAGACAATGGGATAGAATAAGAAAAGCACTAACTTATATATTTCAATCGAAATAGTTCATTTTTTTTTGGATTATGCTTTATTGCTACGCTCGGAAGCGCTTGCAAAAAAAAAAGAAAACAAAGAAAAATATATAATTGAACCCATTAGGACATTTTAGTTACATAAAATTTATAAAATATGAAAAAGACACTTTCTTTTCTCAACAACAGAGAATATCATTAACACATGTACTGGAACGGTTTATAGA